AATGAAGCTCCCTCATGTAACAGAGGGCCAGGAACACAAAAGGCCACAAGTGTCAAAATATAGAGAATAGGAGTCTGCAGAGTGTGTGTCCTTGGACAGGACTCCTGTATTGAGGTCCACCCACCCAGGACTCAGGGACCATTGCAGAAGAGGGGGCAGAAAGATTGTAAGAGTCAGGGAGGAGGTACGTGACTATATGGAAATGGTCCCACAGGCGCCTGGGACCCTTCTCATACAAACCTACAGCAATGGTGTCAGCATGCATGAGACCCATGTGAACTTAGGCAGACAAAAACCCAGCACAGAACTGCTTCTCAAGTACTTTTGCTGAATACCTGTATCTAAATAGGAGTGATAATTCTGCCATTTTTTGCACTAATGAAAGTATTATTTAAGCTTCTAAATGAGAACAAATAAATTGACATAACAGGACAAAAGACAGTGTTGCAGGAAGATGAGGCAGGGCTATCCTGAACATTCTACCTGTAATGTGTGTGCTGGTGTCCAAGGGTGTGGTGGCCATGGGATTGTAACACTACTTTGGACCTTTTTTGGAGCTTGTTAGTCTTGAGGATTGTGAAAAAGTGGATGGTCTCATTGACAGGTGATTTGTTAAATAATTAAATGCTGTTAAATGTCCCAATAGTAACATTAAGGAATGGTGACTTCCAGAGGAGATTTCTTCTAAATGAGTTATTACCAAATACTCAAGGATAGTGAATACATAAAATGGACTCAGAAAGGCATATTCAAGGAACTTATTTACAAATGTTTTGACTCATTTTGAATTGTCTCTGTCTGATGTAATATTCTTTTTCTTTCTGGTCTTTTTGAGACAGGATCTCCCTATGGCTCCAGCTGGCCTGGAACTCACAGAGATCTGCCTGCTTCTGCTGGGATTAAAGGCGTGTGCCACCATGCTTGGCTTGACTTAATATTCTTAGAGTATCTCTTCTGTGAGATCTGAAATTTTTGCTTTATGTTTAAGTGATTCCAAGGTTATTTTATCATTGATTTTTGAAAGATGTTAACATTGTTTGTTAAAGACAGACTTCATTCTTTAATATTATTGTTTTTTTATTTTGTTAATTTTATGTGTATGAGTGTATTCCCTGCATTATGTAATATGTACCTGTGTTGTGCAATGCCCGTGGAGGTCCAGTTGTTTTTGTTTTGAGCAGTATTCTAGTTATATCATCTTGCTTTTGTGTTAGCTAAAAATTTTTTTTATAACCTGTGAAGTGAGGCTATTTAGCCTTGTCGGTATTTTGAGGTAAAATTCATTTTAAGACACATGCCTTGTACATAATTTGTGCTGGTTATAAGTTGTTTTCCAAGATGTTGTGAAATAGAATTCTGATAGCATGCTATAAATATAATTTCTCAACCACTGTAACGTTCTTAATACACTGCACACTACCTTTCTTCAGTGGTTTTCCAATTTAAATTAACTTATGACCTGTCACCCCACTGTTCATGTCCTGATTGCACATTTATTTCAGAAGCAAATTAATAGACTCTTCTTTCTTCAATGATTTTAATTTAAAACTTAATTCATTTAGTGCTGCACAAAGTTACAGATTTGAAAAGCTTGATAGACCCACTTGAATTGGGTTCTTATAATGTTTGCATGTGTTTTTAACTTGGAGATCACTCAGGGTAGGGTAAGACTTAGGGCATCTTATTTTGTGGACATGAATAGTATTGGTTCATTTCAACGAACATTATTTCAATGTGTATTGTATATTGTTGCATTTCCTCTCTATTCACTATTTTATTTTGTGTTTACATGTAATAGATATTAACTATACTTAAGAACATTGAATGAAATGACCACCCAAGGCAAAGCTATGTCTGTATTTATATTGGTCTTACAGAAAATGGTCATATTTTTAACATCTCCAGAAACTAACTCTCTCTTTTAACACATGCTTGCTTAGAATGTAGAAGAAGACTTAATTTTTAGGAGGTTGGAGAGATGGCTCACTGGCTGCTCTTGAGGATCTGGATTTGGTTCCCAGCACCCACATGGTAGCTAACAACTGTAAGTACAGTTCCAGGGATCTGACACCCACTTCTGTCCTCTGTGAACATTGCTCTTATATACATGCAGGCAAAATACTCATAAAATAAATTTTTTTTAAATTTAAAAGATTTAATTATGTGTATTCATGTGTTAGTATGTGGTGTGTACAAATGAGTTCACTTGCCCTTTGAGGCCAGAAGAGGGTGTCAGGTCCTTTGGAGCTGGAGTTATAGGTAGTTGTGAGCCGCCCAGTGCTGGGACCAAACTCAGGGAACTGTTCCTCTGAGAACAGTATGCATTCATAGCTGAGCCGTCTTTCTAGCCACAGAACACTCTTGTATTTTCAAGTGGTTCCTTATATCTCCTTGGCCTTTTCCTGGCTGTTCCGTTTTTTCCCTTTTCTTGGCCACACATTCCCATGGCAGCATTAACAGATGCTTATTATTTATTTTCAAAGTAAGTATTCAGATTATTTAAAATATTCTGGGAAATGCTTTATTTTACTAGGTAAAGATGATTCAGGACTGGACATCACTTGTAGGTGTAGGTGTAGGTGTGTCCAACTGAACTATAGGCTTATGGGACACCTGTGCTTTAGGGTAGTTGTGATTACAACTCAACACAAAAATCTTAAACTTAAGTGGTATAAGATTTAAAAAAATATTTTATGTATTATTTTTATTTTATGTGTATGAGTATTTTGCCTGCATGTGTGTAAGTGTACCCGTGTCATGTAGTGCCCACGGAGAGGGTGTCAGATTCCCTGGAACTGGAGTTACAGACAGTTGCTGGCTGCATTGTGAGTGTTGGGGTGTAAACCCAGGTCCTCTGCAAGATCAGCCAGTGCTCTTAACTGCTGAGCCATCTCTCCAGCCTCAGTTATAATTTTTTTTAGATTTATATTTGTTTATTTGGAACTTGAGCATGAACTTTGTAGATGACAGCATCTTTGCACTAAATTTTCTTCTCTTTTCCCTTCTTGGGAGGCTCAGGCACTGAAGCCCCAGGGCTCACAGACTAGCTTAAAACATTTTTAGTTTGGGTTTTGTATCGTTTTATGACATTTAGGGCAGAGTGCCTTACAAAGAAATGGCTTCTCAGAACCCACGCATCTTTCAAGCCCTGCTTGCAGTATCCATTAGTGTGGGCGTAGCATGTCCATGCCCGGGTCGGGGGTGGGGGGTGGGGGCGCTGCTGTTGCTTTTTCATGCTAACTCTCAGTCTCTTGGGCAGCTCCACCCCTCTTTCCAGGGTGCTTCTTGTCTTGACCCTGGCTGGCTTACTCTTTTCGGAGGAATGAGTAATGTTCGGGCTACAGCATCTAATTGCACTGTGAAAGGCTGGACATACCTGAATGAGTACCGGAGGGTTTTACTCATAGTGCTTGTATTCTAAGTTTGTGTGTAGAGAGCCGTAGGGCTAAGTTGACTGACAAGCTGGACAGTCTTCCCTCCATTCCAACTATGTAGTCACATGATACCTCTACTGCCCACCCTGTGCACAGGCATCATTCCCTCATTTCAGCCATGTGGTCTCATGACTCCTGCTGCCCACCCTGTGCTCAGGGGCTCCTTCCCGGGGCTCTCTTGCTGCCTCCTTCCCTGTCTCCCTCCTCAGTGTGCCTTGTTTACCGCTCCCTTTGGTGAGGTCGTCTGCTCTAAGGGAGAAATGACACGCAGGACACCAAGCCTGCCTGTTTCCATTGTCTTCTGGCTTCTGTCACCAGAAGCCAGAATGTGAGACATAGTGGCAGGATTGGAGGCAGTGATGGGGAAATTACCTATGTCCTGATACATAACGTACAGTTGAATGAAAGGATTCCTGCATGTTTAGCTGCCTCACTTAAAACCACTCAAAAATGTTTCTCCCATACAGGCTGGTAAGGCAGGTTCCCAAGTATTTGGCAGATGTTAGCTAGGCAGTGATTTATTAATTTTTTTTTAATTTCTGATTACTTGTAGTCATGGCATATGCTTATGTGGTCCAGTATGACGTCTTCAAAAATGTATTCAGTGTGTAATGGCCAGAAGGGGTGATTGGCATATCTATCATTGCAGAGATACGTCTTTTAATCATGTTAGTGACATTAAAAATCCTGTCTACTAATCTGAAATATTCAATTAATTGTTGTCAGACATATTTGCCATAGAGCACTGATAGATAGTAGTGGTTAGTCTGAAATAGGTCAAAAGGAAATAAAGGAAGATGGGGAGCAATTTGGTGTCTGCTGCCCATAAGCTTTGGGCAGAGTTCATTCTGAGTCTCAGATAAGGGATTTGTCATGTAAATGCATGTTTATGGTCCTCTACTGCTGCGGTTAGTCTGGTCACCAGACAATAGACAAGTTGAGCACAGATGTTTCAAGTTGAAATTATCCCCTAAAATTTAGTCATTTTTTTTTAAAATATATATTAGTAAAAATAATTCTTGGGACTGGAGAAATGGCTCAGCAGTTAAGAGCACTGGCTATTCTTGCAGCAGAGGACCTGGATTTGATTCCCAGCACCCCCATGGCAGTTAACAACCAACTGTTCCAGGGAATTCGATGCCCTCTTTTGTCCTCCACGGGCATTGCATCACATGGGTGCATCTACATACATGCAGGCATAACACACATACACATAAAATAAACATAAATCAAAAATTTAAAAAAATCATTGAATTTTTTTGTAAAGATTAACCTTTGGTGACATTAATTTATATCCCTTAAGTTTTAAGAATTCTGATTTGGACCAAGTCTTAGTAGATTTTGGTGGTGGAGGTGACCTATTCTGACATAAAACTACCCTTTCATAAAATCAGTGGCACTCAATGTATATTGAAAAGTATTTGAATTGCTATCTTTTTGTTATTGTTGTTGATATTTTGAGACTGGCCAGGACCTCACAGAGAGTGCTGGGATTAAAGGCCTGCACCACCATACCAGGACTGAAGTACTACCTTCATTGATATAGTATTTATTGTTTATCTTTAGGTTTTTTCCCCAGCAGCTCCCAAGGATGTGATGCATTTCTTCGCCACAAGATGACCCTGATTTCTCCCTCTGTGCTGAAGAAGTATGGTATCCCCTTTGACAAGGTATCTCCATGCTACGCTTTCAGTACTTGATTTTTCATTGATGTGTTTTGTATTTAAGGTGAATTAAACATGGAAAAGTGTATATTTGATTTTAAAAATAGGACTTTTAGGATCCATGTTCTATGACATATCAGTAAGTTTATCTAAATCCTAATTAAAATTTTTATTACAATATGTATTTGTGTGTGTGTGTAGTTTGAGAATTTTATCATGCGTATGTGTATTCATCAAAAGCAACCCCAATTTACTCCTCTCCAATTCCTACCCCCCCCCACCACCACTCCCTCTCCTAACTTGATGTGCTCTTTGTTTTTTTTAAACTGAGTCCATTTAGTACTCTGTTTATGTGCCTGGTTGTAGGACCATCTACATGGAGCAGGACTTCCATCCCTGAAGAAAATTGGCCCTCCCTTTCACAACAAGCATCAAGTGCCAGTAGCTCCTAGCTAAGACTGGGACTTTATGAGCCTGTCCCCTGTCTTGCTGGGAATTTTGGCTGGCTTGTTTTTTGTCCAGGTCTTGGGTATGCTGTCACAGCTACTTTGAGTTCATGTATGCAAAAGTGCTGTCACGTCTGGCAGATATTGTTTTGCTGTAAACGTCCATGCCTTTAGCTTTTAGAGTCCTTCTGGCTCCTTCCACAATGATACCCGAACTTGGGGTGGGTGTGGTATTGCTGACTCAGAGCTGGGATTTCCACTGTATCTTATTCTCTGCATGTTGACCCAGTTGTGGGTCTCTGTATTGATGACCATCGTGGCAAAAATAAACTTTTCTGATGAGTGTTGAGAGGTGCACACTAATCTATGAGCATAAAGATAACAACTTGGGGTGGGGTGGGGCTGTAATAACCTAGGTTTTGGCACAGTGGGTATGGTAGCTCTCAAGGTTCACTGCTGGTAAGACTGTTGATGACTTTTCTCCCAGACACCATGCATAGAACTTTCCAGCTCTATGAAAGCTGACTAGTAAGAATGAAGTTTCCAGGTCAGTTACCAGCTTGATTTCTCCATGTCCTATTCCTGGAATATATGGTATCTTCAAGGTCTTACCATCAAGTTCTGGAGGTTAATCAAGAGCAATAGCAGTAGCCTGTAATGTTGGGGGAGGGGTGTCTGTGAATCTTCCCTGACCAGTAAGTAACTCAAAGAGATAACTGATACTTTGCACTGGGCTTTTTATTAGATAACCTGTGGTGTTGGGGAAGGCATTGGCCCCACACTGTAGGGCTGCTTCACTTAAAGTCCTTTTATATATGTATACATGTATATGCATTTATTTAGGAAGTTTCTACAGTAGTAGGTTTCCATATGACCTTTTCAAAAGACTTTAGTGTTAGTTATCCCTTCCCATGCTCCCTTTTCCACCCTGCCCTCCCGTCCTCCACCCCATTTAACTTTTTCTGTTCCACTCTTACCCTTCCCCCTTTATAATACCTGTATTCTTTCCCCCTTTACTTGAAATCCCTCACCTATGACTCATTATTGGTTTCCTACTTTCTATGAAAAATCTAAGCATCCATATCTAAAGATTTCAAAGCTAGCATCCACATATGAGAGAGAACATAGTGATTTTCTTTCTGTGTTTGGTTTATCTCAGAATGATGATTTCCAACTCTGTCAATTTGTTGAAAATTTTAGGTTTATCTACAGCTGAATAATATTCCACTGTGTGTATTATACATTCATCAGTTGATGGACTAGGCAGGTGTCTCTGTTGTTGGGAGTGGTCTAGCTGGATCCATACGGTAGATCGATTTCTGGCTTTCTGAGGGAACCCCCCACATGGTTTCTGTAGTGGCTGCACTAGTTTTTGCACTTCTACAAATACTGTGTAAGTGATTCCTTTTCGCCACAGACATGCCAGCGTTTGAGATGGTAAGGTGCCTGTGACTTAGAGAGCAAATTGGCAATTGCGCTTCATGTGAAATTATGGCCATTTCTGTTTTCTGCCTTGATGCAGGGCACATGGTGATTCTGTTCCTCAAAGAGCTAATTCTCTGATGGTGTCAAGGAACTTGTGACAGTAAGTGGCCATGCTGGCTGTGACATTATAGCTGCTAGGTTCATTCTTGGTTTCTATTACATTATTTTTCTGAACTTTTCTTTTTTTCACCTCCAAAATGGGGATAATACTAATTATCACTTAACACTTATTCTAGTATAAGAAGAGATAGTCTAAGGAAGGGGTTTGCGTAGTTTAAATTATATTGTAATATATTTTTCTTTTTCAAATCAATTCTTTAAGTCATCAAGTCATCATTTCTCATTTCAAGTACAGTTTTCCTCCCTGTAGCCCTAGCTGGCTTGGAACTCACTTTGTAGACCAGGCTGGCCTTGAACTCACAGAGATCCACTTGCCTCTGCTGGGATCAAAGGTGTGTGCCACCATGCCCAACACTCAAGTACAGTTTTTATCCTTTCGATATACTTGCCTTTGGTGATTGCAGTCATCGTTTTAGCTTTGCTGCAATGGGCTTGTTTGGTTGTGTCCCTCTACTTAATAGATGCATCATCTGACCAAATTGAATTGGCTTTATTTTGGTGAAATGAGACTGATTTGTTTCTATTGATGAAAAGCCCATGATTTTGGGTCCTTCTTAGTGAAAACACAAGATCTTTTGAACATACTTAGAGCAGGTCTTGCAGGTAGATAGGGAAGATATGTTTACAGTATTCAGTGGAGCATCTGCCTCAAACTAAGGTTACAAGTATGTGTTAGAAACATTTCAGAGTTTTCAGAAGAGTCCTTACCATGCACCATCAGACATCTGTAAGATGACAGTTTAATTGCGGTGTGTCTACCTGCATTTAAAGAGCAGGGTTCCTAAATGTACAAATTCACATATACACACATACATTTATTCCTTAACATTTTAGAACTGAAATGGCAAGAGAGTCCTTCACTCTGGCTCTATACCTTCAAACACAGCAGTACTTGGGTTTAATTAAATTAGGCAGTAGAGGAGTATCCTGACTAATCACAGCAGTACTTGGATTTTAGTTAAATTGGGCAGTGAGGAGTATCCTGACTAAACATAGTAGCGCTTGGACTTAAATAGGGCAGTGAGGAGTATCCTGACTTGAGAGCAGAATGGTGGGATTTTCTTTCACTTCATTTTTCATGAATATTTTGATAAATTCTCATTCCATTTTCTCATTTGTTTATAAAGAACTGGAGAATAAATGACACCTATTCTAGGGTTGACAGTCTTTCCCTGAACACTATTCCTGTGTAAATTTTTCCTTTGAATTTTTTAAAACCACCTATTGTCGGTATTCAGGGCTGGGAAATCACTGTAGATAATTTATGTCTATTTTTTTTAAATTAATTTTTTTTTTATGTGTATGAGTATTGCCTGCAAGTTTGTGAGTGCACCCATGTCGTGCAATGCCACGGAGGTCAGAAGAGGGCTTTGGATTCCCCTGGAACAGGAGTTAAGGACGGTTCATAGCTGCCATGTGGGTGCGGGGAATCGAACCCAGGTCCTCTGCAAGAGCAGTCAGTGCTCTTAACTGCCGAGCAATCTCGCCAGCCCCCAATTTATGTCTGAAATGGCGAAATTCATTTTGTATTCATGAATGTATTCTCAAAATGATTCCCAGTCAGACCAATAAGAATATATAGACTATTTGGATGGATAGATAAGGATAAATAAAATACCATGAATGGCATAGGTTGTCACAGGTGACACTGTTGGATCTATTACTGTGATGGATCTGTAGGATGAGATCACATTCTTTTCCATTAATAGCTGTCATTTTGCAGAATGGTTTTGTTTTTGATTTTTGAGAACTATACTTGTATTAGATTTTATGGAAATTTCTTATCATCTGCCATGGACCAGGGGTTTATTAGACCTCAAGTATTTTTTAAATTCTGTATATCAAATGCTTGGCAATTCAAATATTTATCAGCTGTTGACTAAATAAATAAAACACAATATATTTTGAGGCTCTGAATGAAGGAGTTTTTGTCTCCTAAACACCTTAGGAATATTTGTTGTTGTACAAATTCTAGGAATATTTATCTTACTTTGCTGTCATTTAAAGAATTTAGAGACCAGTTGCTCCATACTTTGAGTGCTAGGGAAGAAGCATGTTAAATTTAGATAATGCAAAACAAAGATTATTTTACTTTATTTGAAGGAGTAATACATTTATAGTATAACATTAAATAGGTATTTTTTCAAAAATAAATCAGACCAAAAATTTTATTTTGCTTATTTTGTTTACAACTTTTGGTATATTTTACTTTGTTTTGTTTTGGTAGATAAAAAAGGTAACAGGTATCAGGGACTGGAGAGATGGCTCAGCAGTTAAGAGCACTGACTGCTCTTGCAGAGGACCTGGGTTCAGGTCCCAGCACCCACATGATGGCTAATAACCACCCATAATTCCAGTTCCAGGGGATCTGATACCCTCCTCTGATCTCTTTGAACATTGCATGACATGGGTGCACTTACATACACTTCAGACAACATACTCATACACATAAAATAAAAATATTAAAAAAAAGCTTTTTAAAAAAGTAAGATGTCTTTAAAGAATGAGACAAAAAAAATATGTAGTTTTTAATGTCTGTTTTTGGGCTCCTGATTTATTTATACAAGTTATTTCAATTACATTTAAAATATAAGCACACATACATATATTTGACTAATTCACTGAATATATGGCTTTTCATTCTATTTTCTTTTTTGGAGACAGGGTCTCCCTATAGCCCCAGCTTCTTATAATTCACTGTGTAGACCTAGGTGGACTTGAACTCACAGAAATTTACCTGTGCTGGCGTTAAATTTTGTTTGTGTAGGGTGGGGGTTTACATGTGCCACAGTGTACATGTGGCGATCATAGGACAGCTTGTTGGAGCCTGTTTTTTCTTCACTGTGTGGATCCCAGGTATTGAACCCAAGTATTGTCAGACATGGCAGCAAGTACCTCTACCCTCCAAACCATCTCACCACCCAGAACGTCTTTCATATTGAAACAGCTGTGATAACATATTTTCCTTTCTAATTTTATTTTTTTTATGACTAAATGTTTATTTAACTATTTTACATATATTGTCTCTAATGTTTTTATTTAGCCTCATAAATTAAAATTGTCTGTTCTCTAAAACATAATATTAAAACTTTCTCTACAGGTTTTAGGATTTCAACTTCCCCTTAGAATTCCCAATCCTGCTTTTCCTCACATTTTTGCTTCTCCTGAAGCAGACACTGATTTTCATTACCCCAGTCACATAATGGCACATCACTAATTCTTCTTTTACTACAGTTACAGCTAAATTTTACAAAAAAAAAAAAAAACTTTCTCATATATAATTAGCTTTACCTGTTTTTTAAAAATAATTTATTTAGAATTTCATGTGTGCATATAGGGTGTTTTGATCAAATCCATGCCCATTCCCTCCCCTCCAACTCCTCCCATATGTCCCCATCACTTTTTTTCTGATAACTTCTTGTACTCTTTCCTCTACTTTTATTTATTTATTTTTTTATGGGGCTGCTACTCTAACATTCTCCCCTCAGAAGAGGTAAACCTAAAATCTTTTAAGAATTAGATAAAAGTTCCCAAATATTTTTGACAGTTTTTGGCCTTTGGAACGGAGTATGTTGCTAAGAGGCCCAAGGACATTGTGAGTTTTAACCAAGAAACTGGCTACTTTTCTTTGGGGTCTTTTTACCTTAACTGCCTAGCCAATTCCTACCTCCTATTATTATCCCACCATCCTCTGAAGAGGTTACCCAAATTGCCAATAGGGAATAGGGACACAGACCGCTCTGGCTTCTTCCATGCTAAAGAGGGATGCAGGGTGAGGCAATTGGAGTACCCCTTCAGTGGGTACATCTAAAAGACTCCCAAATTGCATAACTCTTATCTCCAGGAAGAGAAGAAAGTCTTTGAATCTTCAAGAGGAGTTGTGAAGGAGAGGTAAAGGCAAGAGTAAATAGCATTACAAGTTCTAGACAGGGAACTAGAAAAAAGTCAGAACAGGGCAGTTTTCAAATGTTCATATGAGAGTCCATTATAATTTCTTGACAAGGGCTTCCAAAAGCATCCCTCTATTGGATTCCCCGTCATTTTTCTCTTGTCTTCCAAGGGTGGACTCTATAGAGTGATGGATTCAGGATTTGCTTTCAGATATTTTGATAGGTGTTGGAGTGGTTAGAATCAGTGTCAGTTCCCTCTCAAAGGCTTCTAGATAGGGGGAGAAAACAAATTTATCCATCATTTTAGAACAATAGCTCGTTGTCTCCCTTAGCTACAGGTCGGCACTAGAGTATTGGAGACCAAGATTTGAAGTCTTATGTCTGAGCAGCACTTTCTGGTTAGGAACGAAATCATCAATGAGAATCATAATTGTCTAAATAACTTTTTATATAGACTTAAGCCTAATGTCTGGGAAGTGTAATTCTTTGAACTCTTGAAGAAATATACTGATGACTTTAGTCTTTGGTTTTACTTTCTTTTTGGGTATTTAAGACCAGACAGTGGCCCAAAGAATCAATTTATTTTTACACTTAAGGTCACTTGAAGATCTGCTCCTCAGGGGTCACATGGGCTTGGGAGGAGCTCCTGGTTCTTTTCTTTTACTAGTTCCATCTATGTGAAGATAAGTCAAAGGTCCTGCTCAACCATGTCTGGCTTCACTTGGAAGCATGAATGAGATGTTTCCTCTGAGTTGACCCTCTACTTTGTAGAATGAAAACTGGTTCAAGTCTATCTCGTGTGGTCTCCATGTCCTCCCTGAACAAGAGGACAAGTGACTCACCACAGTTACTGGACATTTTGAGAGATGTTCCATAGTCCCCTGGAACTTAGCTGACCTTGGAGGGCAAGGGGCAAAAACTGTCCTTTAAGTCCCTCTGACCAGATTAGTATGGGTCTCAAAGTATAGCTGTTAAACATCCAATAATGTTAGTTCCACCAGTCTGGTACTTTTAATTATCATGTGCTGTGTAGATAAGGCTTGGATAAAAAACCAAGTATTCTCAGATAAACTTTGACTAGATATATATTTTATTCCTTAGACTAGTTTAGTCAACTATGACCATAAACAATTTAAGATTATGTGTATATTATTTTTGTGTCATCCTTTATATATCATAACCTATACAGACCTTTATCACTTGCTTAGGCTTTCTCATTTTTTCTGTCTCATTTTGGAAAATCTCTCCATTCCCATATCCTTTTAACATCTTTTACATTCTCATTTTCTTTTTAAAAATAATTATGAGACATAATAGTATTAACAAATAAATTTTCCATCTGTTGTGAGACTCTTTTTCCTGGGGATGCTATGCAATGCTTTTTCCCTTTCAGGGTTCTAGTGTCCAACCAATGTTTGATTAAAGTTTTAATGGGAAACCAATGAATTTATTGAGCCTATTTATGGAGATAACTGAGGGGTTGCTGAGGTATATGTGACCTGACAGTGTGCTCACTGGGAAGTGTTTCCCCAGCATGGGTCATGCCTTCTCTTCCTGGCTTTCCCTAAATTGTGCACTTAAGCTCTCCCCAAATCCAGGAGGCCATGTGTGATTAGGGTCAAATTACATACAATTGGCTGGGAAGAGTGTCTGGATAATGCGGTGAGATTCCAATGACCCTGCTTGGCCCTCCTTTAATGAATGAGCACAACAGTCAGCAAGCCCAATTGTGATGATGTTTAGTGGTCAGGCTCAGCTGAAGTCATGATGATGGCAGTTATTTCATGCAAAAGGGACTGCTGTATAGCATCTTCTTATTCAAAGGACCTGGATTTAAAAGGATTTGATGCTAGGATCCACATATAAGGGGGAACATACGTCATTTGTTTTTCTGAGTCTGTGTTACTTCACTTAGCATAACAGTTTCTAGATCTGTCCATTTTCCTGCAAATTTCATTATTTCATCTTTCTTTACTGCTGAATAGAACTCCATTGTGTAAATATACCTGTCCCACTAAATTTTCTCCTTCCCTCTCAGTTTGACCCACCCTCAATCTCTTCAGGGTCTCTTGCTCTGGGCGCTGTCAGACAAACCACGTAACATATTTTTATCTGATTTTTAAATTTTATTTCTTGGGGGGGGGTGGAGTAACTTACAAAGGCAAACACCCAGCGCTTCACAAAAGGCAGACACCCGGTGCCCTGTTCCGCTCTGTGGCTCACCAGCCTGCCACCCTGCCCATAGTCACCATTAGCTTGACTCCAGGGCCATTCCTCTTAAAGCCTGCTGCCCGTGCCCTTTGGGCTTCTGTCCAAGATGGTGCCAAAAGCCCCTCCCTCCAGCTAACTCTCCTGCAGTCAATTCTCCACATCAGGCCCCGCCCTTTAGAGGAACCAGGTCCTTTGGGGACACAATACCACATTTTTGTTAACCACTGGTCAATTGAGGGGCGCTTATGTTGCTTTCCATCTCTTAGCTATTGTGAAAAGAGCAGCAACAAACATGGTTGTACAAATGTCTCTACAATAGGATGGGGCCTTGGGTATATGCCAAGGAGTGGTATCTAATTTAATTTATTTTATGATTTATGTTTGTTTATTTATTTATTATTTATTTATTTATTATCTTTTTGAGATAAGGTCTCCCTATAGGCCCAGCTGGCCTGGAATTTACTATGTAGACCAGGTTGGCATTGATCTCAACATTCACTTGCTGAGTGCTGGGATTAAAGGGGTGAGCCCCATACCTGGTTATATTTTCATTTTTAAAAGAAATGCATTCTGTTTTCAGGATTAGGAAGGTCTTAAGAACACTATGTACCCTCTGATCTTACAGATCACCCAGGAGGCTGGGGAGTTTATGATCACTTTTCCATATGGCTACCATGCCGGCTTCAATCATGGCTTCAACTGTGCTGAGTCTACAAATTTCGCTACTGTCAGATGGATTGACTATGGCAAAATTGCTAAGTTGGTAAGTCATACCTGAAAATCAAAGCACGTTGTAAGTGTGTATTTTCCTTGAGCACATTCATTGTTTTCATCACTCGCAGTCTCAGCACAGCTATTTATTTCACAGTAGAGATACTTAATTTATGCAGGCTCAGTTACCACTCATTTCTGTATTTGATGCTGTGGATGCTTGCTCTCTCTCTCAATTCCACCCTTTGGTTTCATTGTCTAAAGACTCCATATTAGACAGACTTTGATTTCTTCTTTTAAAGTTCTGTCTTTGGCTTAGAAAATAGCAGCTTATGGAAGGAAGTGACTAGTTAAATTTGTAACTATTGCAGTTCCTGGGAGGATGGTAAGAAGAAATGGTCCTTAGTGCAAAAGTGAATTTCTCAAAAGTAATAAGGTAGAACATATTTTAAAATATATTTTAATGGGGCTGGGGAGATATCTCAGTTGTTAAGAGCACTGGCTGGTCTTGTAGAGGACCCGGGTTTGGTTCCTAGGATTTACATCGCAGCTAACTACCATCCGTAACTCCAGTTACAGGGGATCCGATGCCATCTCACCTCCTTGGGCACTGCAGGACGTGGGTGCACTTACACCCACGCCGGCAATACACTCATACCTATAAAATAAAAATAAAATATTTAAAAATACATTTAAATAAGGTGCTCCTTTTTCATAGTATTCATTTAAAGCTCTAACCTCTTTTTGTGTTTGGAGTAGATTGTGTTGCAGAGCTGGGCAACATAGAGGCAGGAGTGAGTAACTACTTACTCTTCAGCCTTGAATGTAAATGTAGTTGTAGTCTGACCATCCCTGTTTCTAAGCATCTGTAATTCTCTGTATCTTTCACAGCCTCGTGTTCTTTGTTTCAATCAGTAAGTTTTGATTATTTCACTAAGATGTGATTTTCATAAAACATACTTAGAACAATGTTCCACGTAGTCTTGTTGCCCTTGCCTGGCACTAAATGATGCTTGGGCTGGTGGGTGCTCAGATTCTGCTCTGAAGCAGGTGCTGGTCCGTGTATTTGTGTGTGGGTAATCACATTCATTCTGTTTGTCTTTAGATAGTTTTGCCTTCCGTACTTTGAATGACTGCCATGTACAAAGCGGAAATATTAGCAGAATGTACTATTTACTGATTTTAGAAATCTTTACTGCTTTAAACATCAAAGTAATCTTAGAATAACAAACAGGATAGTAACTGAAGCCAAACCTCTGTGTGTATTTGAAACAACTGCATTCACTTTTTGTAACATTCTTCTGTGGAAAAATGGAGCCCACGATTACTTCTGTGCAACTGTAGTGTGGTCACCAGTCTGCTTCCTAACTGGGCTGGGTCAAAGAGCTGGCCTGCAGGATGCATTGCATTTTTCTGTGTAGTGGGATGAAGTACAGTTCTGTGATGGCTAATCTTGGTTGTTACCTTGACTGGATGTGGAATTAACTAAAATGTGAGGGACTTTCTTGATCAGAATATTTGAGGCTGGAAGACCACCGTAAACAAGGGGGTGCCTCTAATGGCAGCCCAGAGAAAAGCACGTGGCAGAAGGAGCCTTTGCTTTTCCCTACTTGCCTTCTTTCTTGCTGGCGAGTTTTCTGCCTTGATGCTGCAGCATTGTTTTGCCAGTGTGAAAAGCAGCTTCTTCAGGTTCCAGTGTAGACTTAAGACCAGCAGCTCTGCAGGAATCCTTCAGGCCTTCAGTGCTAGATTGGGACTGCGGAGACCCCCATGGACTGAGCAGCCGGGATTCCCAGCCAGTCTGGTGGGATGGCCCCTACCCTGTAAGCCAATCAAACATACCCTCTTTTAATATGTAATTACCAATATATTCATAATACACACACTATTTTCTATCAATTCTGTTCCTCCAGAAAACCCCGACTAATGCAAGTTCTTTTGAGACTGGGTTTGATAAATTTTTTCCCCACTGCATTTATTATTAGATCATATCAATAAAACTGACAGGCTGTTTAATGAAACTTTGGCTTGGATTTTTCAGCTTGACTTGTTTTTGCATTGCAGCAGCTTTAAGCACTGTGATTGTCCTGAAGGGAAAAAAAGTTATTTATGGTACAGATTTTCTTGGGTTACAAAGACTTAGTGTCTTAGGGAAAGTCGTGTCTTGCGTTTACCCTCAGAAACAGAGCACTTGCTAGAGTATGTAGCACCAGAGACTTAGTGTGTGGTGCTAATGATGTGTCTTCTTAATGATGTATAGTAGTTGCTAACACTTAAACAGTAACCATTATTTTAACTTGCTTTTATTTGAAGTAATATATTAACATGGCATATCAGAAAGTTGAAAATTGAGCTGCAGTGTTTTCTCATAAGCTCAGGAATCAATACGATGTGAATTTTAAGGTTTTCTGACATTTGAGTCCTCAGACATTTGAACATGTTTGGAAACAGGTGATAGAAAATTTTGAAATTGATTTTCTTTTAATCTGCAAATGATTTAAAATATTAAATTGTCTAAGGTTACAAGTATAGGTATGGATTCATTCTGTTTTATATTTCAATCTTTCTAAAAAGAAATTTTGGTTTTCTTGAATTGAAAATGAAAAAATAATTATGAGTATAATATCAACATAAATATAGGAAAATAACATGCATATGAAAATGTAAGCTTAGATTAGCTGGTAAGGGGACATACTTATCACCGAACAAAGAACTGCAGTACACATTCTGTCTGCTGAAGGAATCCTGTGTACATGTACTTAAAGAAGGTAGCTTCCTGGACAGAGGCTATCATTGTGGCAGAAGAAAGTGATTCTAGAGATCTTCATAGAGGAATCTTTTTCAATGTGAACAAATAGCCTTCATCTGATTGTGTACACCAAACTAAGTTCTGAGAATGTGGCTGTTCCTGTGTCTTTTGGAGTCACTTGGGGCAACACTGTATATTGCTTTAATAACAACATAACACAGTTACAGTGGTTACTCATTTTATGGAAAGGAATTAGAGTCAATCTCTAAAGTCTAAAAGTATGGTAAAAAAGAAATCATATTTACCAAGAATTTCTCTTGAAAGTACTCATAAACTCACATTATAGTCAAAATTATAACAAAGCCCCTTCCTTAGGCCTTGAAAGATAAGATTATCCCATTCTCCAGGGGCTGGAGACATGGCTTAGTGGTTAAGAGCACTTACTGATCTTGAGGAGGACATAGATTTGTTTTTGAGCACAAACATCAAAGCTCATAAATACCTGTAACTCCAGTTTCAGGGCATCCATCATCCCTTTCTGGTCTCCACAGACACTTCATGCTTGTAGCACATATATGAACAGGAAAAAACTATCATGCACATAAAATACAAATAAATGCAAATTGTCTCCTTCCCTTCCAATAAGAGACCACAAGTCAAATAATATTCCTCAATCCTGGATAGTCCTTATTCAAAGAATTAGGAACCAATTTCAAGTGAATTTATAGGTTATATTTTGACTCACTCCATTTCTGACCTGACATCCTGGTGGTTCTCTGCTCCCAGGATGTCCCACATCGATGTTGAATTGAATCAAGGGATCCTTCTGCCTCAGGCACATGAGTTTCTGGAACTACAGCGTGTGCCATCATGCACTGCGTTGTGTCATAAAAGAGTAGTCTAGTAGCCTTTGTCTGTATCATGTATAAAGGGAAGAAAGTCTGGCTGCTTTGCACTAGCAAATCAAACAGTTTTGGACCTTCTAATTCTGAATGTCTGATACTGCATACATAATTTGAATTTTGAGTGTAGATATTTTATATCCTATATTTTGTCATTTTATTTCTACTTTTTGCCCAGTTTCTGGGTCCTGATTGTTTAGCAAAACAGTGCTGGCTTTGCTCTGCCAAAGTACACAAATCAATAAAGAGGAAAACAGAAAAAAAAAACCTCTTTTTAGAACATTTCCAATTTTCCACCAAAACTGAAAGGAAAAATACAGAAATTTCATATTCTTTCACATGTAATCTCGCATTATCAGCAAGCTCTCATCAAAGTGATACTTTTCCTACAAGTGGTGAGTGTGTACTGACATGTCTCCAGAAATCCGTAATATGTATTGGGGTTCAATCTTTCTGTTGTGCAACCTTTCATTTGGACAAATGTGTAGTGACCTGCAATCTCCATAGTAGTATACAGCAGATTCATTTCAGTGCTCTGTAAATCCTGTGCCTTTTTTTTCACAGAATTTAAAAGAAATCTTGTGCTCAGAACCATAATGAGAAGAAAAAGTATACAAAGACATGCCCTTAAGGAACATGTTCTCTCTAACTGAGACATTGCCATTTTTATATCTGTGGGGATATTAAGAGATTTGAAGACCATGTTCATGTTAGGTCCTCACTTAATATTGATAAGATGCTTTGTTTTTGAATTCAGGTAATCTGAGACTTAAGTAATGTAGTACTAATGTAGTTGCTTTGTATTGTGTCCTCAAGAGGGCTGGGAAGCCTGCCCTCATTTTTTGTTAACTTAGTTTTGCTCTATTATGAGATTTGAATGGGACTGTGTATCTACTTTAAGACATTGATGCTAATTTCTAGTTTGAAGTCAAAGAATTATGTCTTTTTGAGACTACACTGTAGTGTTAGTATCATTAAAAATTAAAACTACTATTGAGAAAAATAAACTTGTCTTCACTCTTTTTTCATGGAGTTTTCTGGCAACTGTAGTTGACCTCTGTTTTCTCTTCCAGTGTGCTAGATTTTGGTAGGGAAACTTGGGGCAAGTTGCTTTTCTCTGACTTTACAATGGTGCACATTTAAGGACAATGGTTGTTGTCTTCCTTCTACCCATTCCTCTTTCACATAGTCTCATTTCGAAAGAAGTCCATCATTTTAGGCAGTTGGTGTGTTAGGGGAGAAGGTAGCAATGATATTTGCTCTAACAATAAATGAGGATGTTGAGGCTGATCTCACTGTGTCCAGGCTGGTTTTGAACTCTTCATCTTGCCTCAGCCTCCCGAGTGCTCAGATCACAGGTATGTACTCCATGCCCAGCTCTTGAATTTAGATTTTTTTTCC